ATGTAAGGATTTTATTTTGCAACAATAATATTTATAAACAGCAGTAAATTGTTCAGATTTTTTTAAATGTAAGCACGCGCATAAATATACTGAAAGTCAAGGTAAACTATGTAAGATGTTAAGTGATGTAATTTTGTTTTATTTCTATAGTGTAATTATTATTTATATTATTTTAGTTTGAGAAATTAATTTATGTATTATATATTTTAAATAACAGACGGTTCTGAATTTAACCGTTTTCTTTTAAGTTATTTTCCAGTATTTTAAAGTTATTTTACAGTTATGTATGCTGGTTTGAAAAAGTAGTATTTCCCTTAACGAAAAGAAATATAAAAAAAAAAAAAAAACCAGGCGTAAATTTATGTTTTGTTAAGTTTCGGTAGTGGCACTCTTAATAATTTTTCGTTTAAGTAAGTTATATTATCTTTTCATAAGACTATCATTATTTAGATCAAAGTTGTTGAACTGATTTCTATGTATGACTATTGCATTTGAAAAATTGTTATATATGAAATCGTTTTTGCCTTTATAAATATTATTGCAAAATAAAACACTTATATTTGTCATCAGAAGACGAAACGCATCGGCTATGATCAGTTTTCCTATTTTCGTATTTTCTTTATAGACATATATTTTTTTACATATATATGAAATTTTACATATATACTAATATATCTTTGTTTATATCTCTTGTTTATATGTCTTGTTGTTATATCTCTTATTATTTATACTTCTGAAATACCTCTTATAATTATGTCTAATTATGTACGTCATTTATGTTTATTATTTGGATGTCTTCTATAGTTATAGATCTCATGCGACATTAAATGATTGACATTCTAAGGGACATATAGTAAGACATCTATATTTTATCATTATTTGTATTTTATTATTATATATTTATTACCTTTTTTCATTATGTCTCTTATTTATATGTCTTATTATATGGACTTATTTTATTTATATGTCTCTTATTATTTATATGCCTTTTTATATTGCTATTTATATGACACTGATACCTCTTATTTAAGTGTCATTTTTATCATTATTTTTATGTGCCTCTTATATATCTTTTGCTATAAATTTCTTATTTATGTGTTATATATAACTATTTGTGTGTTATCTATTATTATATACCTGTTACCTATTATTATATACCCGTTGCCTATTATTATATACCTGCTATCTATTATTATATACCCGTTGCCTATTATTATATACCTGCTATCTATTATTATATACCTGTTGCCTATTATTATATACCTGCTATCTATTATTATATACCTGTTGCCTATTATTATATACCTGTTGCCTATTGTCATATACCTGCTATCTATTATTATATACCTGTTACCTATTATTATATACCCGTTGCCTATTATTATATACCTGCTATCTATTATTATATACCCGTTGCCTATTATTATATACCTGCTATCTATTATTATATACCTGTAACCTATTATTATATACCTGTTGCCTATTATTATATACCTGTTGCCTATTATTATATACCTGCTATCTATTATTATATACCTGTTACCTATTATTATATACCTGTTACCTATTATAATATACGTGTTACTTATTATTATATACCTGTTACATATTATAATATTACTGTTACCTATTATTATATACCTGCTATCTATTATTATATACCTCTTACCTATTATTATATACCTGCTATCTATTATTATATACCTGTAACCTATTATTATATACCTGTTGCCTATTATTATATACCTGTTGCCTATTATTATATACCTGCTATCTATTATTATATACCTGTTGCCTATTATTATATACCTGTTGCCTATTATCATATACCTGCTATCTATTATTATATACCTGTTACCTATTATTATATACCTGCTACCTATTATTATATACCTGCTATCTATTATTATATACCTGTTACCTATTATTATATACCTGTTACCTATTATAATATACGTGTTACTTATTATTATATACCTGTTACATATTATAATATTACTGTTACCTATTATTATATACCTGCTATCTATTATTATATACCTCTTACCTATTATTATATATCTGGGATCTATTTTTATATACCTGTTACCTATTATAATATACGTGTTACCTATTATTATATACCTGTTATTATTATATACCTGTTACCTATTTGATTTCCTTTCCCCTCCGTCGATAAAGACATTATTTAGACTTAAGATATCATTTCGTATGAAACGCCTGACCAAATTTTTACCTTCAAGTCATGAAAATACCAAATATATATTTTACTAAATGTGTTTTATATATGCATAATATTGTATTTTATTATTATTTATAGATCACTTAATATTTTATAGCTTTTACTATATGTCTCTTATTATGACTTTTATTATTATTATTATTTATATATCTCCTATTATTATATATCTCTTAATATGTCTCTTATTTATATAGCGTTATTATTAGTCGTACGTACTATTATTAGTCTTATGTACCTTATATAGCTCTTGCTGCAAGCATGTTATGGCTCTAATGAGTTTTATTATTAATGTCTCGTATTATTTAAATCTATATATATAAGCTTCCCATTTATATTTATCATTAATTATATGTATGTGATTACGTCTTATATATATATATATATAAAATATATATATATATATATAATATTAGTTTTTGTATATATAAAAGAATTACTTCAAATGGTTAATCCTTATATAATGTATTCACTTTTAAATCCTAAATTTTATATATCTATCCATCTATGCGTCTAAGTTTCTATCTATCTATCTATCTATCTATCTATATCTATCTATATATATATATATATATATATATATATATATATATATATTATTATTATTATTAGTAGTAGTATTATTTATGTTTCCTATTATTGTATATTTCTTATATATTTGTTTATGTTTCTTATTTATGATGTCTTTTATAATTATTTATATGTATATTATTTATAATAAAATTGACCCTGTACAAGGCCTGGGAGTCCCTCGAGGTAGAGAGTTACAGAGAAAGAGGCATAGTTTAGGATATGTGGCGAAGATAACGGTTAACCATAAACTTTAACGGGTTAAGATTGTAGTGACAGGGGAAGTAACCTCTTGGGAGTCGGTTCCACAGAGCAACAATTCGCGGGAAGCAGCTGCTCGGGTGGAATTTACATCTCAACAATAGAATACGAAGGGAATGAGGGTGGTTCGCTACATGAAGATTATGACTGGTGGACTAAGGAATGTAGTTCGTCTGAGCACTTTCCATGGAAATAGTGATAGAGAAGCGAGAGTCTCGCGGCATTTCATCTGTGCGAAAGCGGTTGTAGGGTGGAAAATAATTCGTCACCCACAAGGGCGCGGAGACGCTTTTACACTCTATCGAGATTGGAAAGTGGAGACTGGCAAGCTCGTGTCCATATATGGCAGCAGTACTCCAATTTCGGCCTGATCTGGCTCTTGTAAAGGCAGGGGATATCGCGAGGAGTCAGGTACTTCCTGGAGCGGTCCTGAGAACCGACCATTTCCCCATCAGCTTTAGTGATGGATCATATGTACGAGGTCCACTTGAAGTCTGCGTTTGAGTTTAAGTACTCTTATGGCTATGTCTGAATATTTACATGTCTCTAATCATTATATGTCTCTTATCATTATATGGCCCTTATCATTATATGTCTCTTACGTCGTTTTTCATTATTTATACATCTTTTATTATTTTGTGTCTTTTATAAACACTGGACTTCATACAAGTTTACTTATGTTATTGAGTAATACGAAAGTATTCACATCACATTTGCTCCGTTATATATATATATATATATATATATATATATATATATATCCGTGTGTGTGTGTGTGTATATATATATATATATATATATATATATATATATATATATATATATATATGTCCGTGTGTGTGTGTGTATATATATATATATATATATATATATATATGTCCGTGTGTGTGTGTGTAGTATATATATATATATATATATATATATATATATATATATATATATATAATGTTTGTGTGTGTGGGGTGAGTGCTAGATAAATATTTTTACACGTTTACTAATTAGTTTAACACGTATTCAATTGTAAGGTCCTTGTAGCAACAGGTGAGTTTTTGTATTTTTTTTTGTATTTATTTTTCAAAATTATTACCTTAGTTTTATGATTTTCCGTCGAATTATTTTCGTTAATACCAGCTGGCTTCCTTCATGCTTTGTTGAATATTTGACACTGCGTTTGTCCTGTTTTTATAAAATGTACGTTATATTTTTTTTTTTTTTTTCTCATATAGGTCTCACATTTCTTTCGTTGTCCCAGTGTCAGGCAGAATGACAAATTAAACGTTGGTGTGTCAAGGTGATTATATTTATATGTCAATTTGAATATCGTCTGTTTCATTGTTTTTATTTTATTTTATTTTTATGCATGTGATGATGTAATATTTCGGTTTACTAACTGTCAGAATGGAAGGGTCCTGTTTGTATGTGCCAAAAGTCTACTTGACTTTATCTGGATTTCAAATACAGGTTAATGGCTCCAGTGGGTAACATGAGTATTTCAGCCTCTGAACGTGGAAATCGAATTTACAACAGCAGCCGTAGCTTATGGGGTTATCCTGGTAATTGCTGCTTTATGACGAGTCAGTGTAGTTACGTGAGGAGTTATGTAGGTATGCATGTATGTATGTATATAGATATTATATATGTATGTATGTCAGAATGAGTGTGTTGGTAAGTATTTTTCTAGAGGGTCGTTCCCAATGCTTTTTTCTTATAATTCTATGGTCATTTTTTTTTCAAAACTGTTTTATTTTCCATAACAAATCAAATGACCTTTCAAAATCGTCTGTTTCCTTTTCTTTTCTTTTTTTTTTGCGTTTTCTTTTCTTTAGATATGCAGAAAGGAAACCTGTTGATTTTTTTTTTCTTATATACTTTTCGTTCCCTTTCTTTTTAAAGATTTTATCCCATTGGCGGACAGGGGGAATTGTATCATTCAAAAGTGTATCACGTGAGCGGTAAAATCATGAACATCGTTACAAGCCCGTCCACAAATATTACACTGCCAAGGATTGTTAACATTATGGAGTCCCATGTGCAGATGATAAAGGGTTCGGTTGAGAAATATGACGTCACAATGTTTACACATCATGGCGTCCTGTAGTCGACCTTTCAGTTCCCGCAGAATATCAGCGCTCGAACCCACACCGCTGAAGGCTGTGTCGCAACCATTTGAAGAACTAACACAATGTTCTTGTTTACCTTGTTGTTGTTGCTGCTGAGCTTGCGTGGAGATAACATCAGTTCGTGCATTTCCGCTTCCGGTCAACGATCCAACGTGGGAAGGTTCTGGTAATGTCCTCACAGCTGAAATAATCAAATGGTTTTTATCTTTTCTGGCGTTGGGGTTTGACCACTTCTCATAAAAGGCGGTTTCGCCTTCGTTTCTGTCTTTGCTGCTGGAGTCGCTGACTGTCTGCCCCTTGCCGTGCATCACAGTAGAGCCACCGGACTTTCTCAGCCGACTCTCGCTGTCCTTGATTCTTGGCGAGATTTCACGACTGCCTCTGTGGTCAATGTCGTCGGCACTTCTTGCTTCTTTCGTGTATTTATTTCGTGCCATCTGACATTTTTCTAGAAAGCCGACCGAATGCGGTCTCTGTAAATCGCTCTTCTGAGCTTCTGTTTTTGATTCATTTGGCACGCTCTGGCTTCGATCATTAACACAGCGGGCCATCGAAGGAGATGATGTGGAGGCAGTTGAGGAAGATGACGATGAAGAGGTCGGAAAATTCGTAGACGAAGCAAAATAACCACAGCGTTCATAAAAACGTCGATAATGATCTACTGAGAGAGGTTTACCCATCACGGACCTCCCATCACATGTCATCGGGTCACTGGAAAGGGCGTTTGTTTTGCTATACCCTTTAGAGTATTTGTTTAAAAAGTTTTTCAGGGGTAAGTGTGTGGCTTTGCCTAGGGGATTAATATCGTGCGCTTTTGACTCCTGTAACATCGGTTTCTTAACTGGAAGCGACCAGCCACTGTCGTTCATATCGCTACTGTAATGTGTTTGGTGTTGCTCTCGCTTGCGTTTGTTGCCTAACATATGCGAATAAGCTCTTGTGTGTTCGTTCAGGAGACTTGCTGTTGTGATTGCTTGTATGCCCCGACGGTGAGAGATCAGGTGCAGAGTCAAAAAGTCTTCGTTGTCAAACCCAACTCCGCATTCGTCACACCTATAGCGCATGGAGCCTCGCCGGTAATGCGACAGTGGCGAGAGGTCGAAGTGTTGCAAAGACGAGTAAGAACTGTCTGCGCTGTGATCTCTGTAGGCGCTGGATTGGGATCGCGTTACGGCAACGTTTTCCGAATGGAACGACATCATGTGCATGGCGAGCGAATCTTGGTCGAGGAACTGCGAGTCGCACAAGAGACAGATAACATGATGCGAACTAATCAAGGCTTTCGTGTTGCCCAAGTTTGAAGACGAGCGGACTGACACGGCTGGTGTGTTAGCACTGTCACTACGACTTGTGCTTGGGTGGTCGGCACCGGGAACCAGTCGCCTCTGAATGGTGCCTATGCCAGATGACCCGCTCTCCATTACGGAACACTCCTTACTGCTATTACTGCTGTTGTTTTCTGGCTCTGTTTTGACGACAACTAGTTTGGGGGTCATTGAAACGGGGCTTCCTATGTTTGAGCCATCGTTGGAGATCACCTCCTGTTTGACTTCTTTTATGCAGCTCTCAATCTCCGAGATGGGCACGTCGGCCTGCTCGACTAAGTTCAGGGTATCCTTGCCGTTAGACGGTTGTAATCCGAGGAGAGAAGCTTTTATTTCTACGCTGTCCCCGACGGCTGCATCACTACGGCCGTTTCCGCCGAAGGTGCTGTCGGAACCGTACACTTCAGACCGACATGATTTGTCCTTGGCACGAATCATGACATGCATTGCGTACGAGTCGCGGCTCGTGAAGACCGCGTTACAGTCTTCACAGGTGAAAGACATCGACGAGAGACCCATGTCTGATGAATAAAGTGTATCCATAATGAATTAGTGAAATCACTAGGAGTTAGAATCGGGAGTGAAATTGAAGTAACTCGCTTTTAGAATGTGAACCGCATTGACAGACGTTCAGACTGGGACTTGTGTATATTTTTGTACATGTAAAGATTCGTGTGTTTCAACGTATTTATACACATTAGCATATAAGAACAGATACGCACATGGCCTGTGGCGATTAATATTTTAACAGGAAACTTGTTTAGTTGATTATTGTAAAAATAAAAAACATTCTTATTTTTTTCTATAATTTCATGTCTAATTATTAATTTTATTTTAATTAATTATGTTTTATTTTAGAAGTGAGGTGCATTATTTTGGACGTGGTGGGTAGCGATAAATATTTAAACAGAACTCATGGATTTTCACGAGAGAATTCATGCTATTGGTATTTTCGGAAAATACACGCAAGTTCCTCCTGGTTATTTATTTATTATGAGCAAGGATGATCATAATATATATATATATATATATATATGAGTGTGTGAGCGTGTCTGTGTGTGCCCGCGCGCGCGCGTGTGTGTGTGTGTGTGAGTGTGTGTGAATTTGGTTTAAATTGTGTCTGTACAAAAATTTATCTTAGGTGTTCAAATCAGTTTCACTGTAGTCATATATATATATATGTATATATATATATATATATAGAGAGAGAGAGAGAGAGAGTGAGAGAGAGGCTGAAACAGACTGAGATAGATAGATAGATAGATAGATAGATAGATAGATAGATAGATAGATAGATAGAGAAACAAATTTAGATAGATAGATAGATAGATAGATAGATAGATAGATAGATAGATAGATAGATAGATAGATTTGTAAATGGAACCAAAGTTCGCTTTTGGAATCTATTCGGTAATTTTTATTTGGTCATGGAAAAAGGTTAACGTGTGAGTGCGAATCTGTGTGAACACCAAAAGATGGAGACGAAGTGGCGTATTACCTCTGATGACTTACGTTTAATCATAACTTGATCTACTTCCCGTGAATAATGTTATACGTGCTGTAATACAAACCAATCTACTTACGTATGTATGCATATATGTATAGATGTATGTATGGATGTATGTATGGATGTATGTATTTTCTTAAATGCGCCAGATGTTTCTATACATCCCAGTAAACATATCTGTGACATATAATCATAATCGTTACATGTAAACGTGTTCATTGAACTGTTGTATATGCGTGTGTCTAAGATATAGCATATGTGCGTATGTATATAATAGACGTGTGTATAATATGTAAATGTGTTTATTTTAATATTTACACATCTATATCCATGTGTATAAGATATCAATTATGTATGACTGCACATAAAATCATGTTCGAAGCATAAGATATATATGTGTGTGTGTTTTTATATAGTCAGTCATCTTCAATATATATATATATATATATATATTGTATATATATATATGTGTGTGTATGTGTTCGTGTATAGATGTGGTGTGTGCGTCTGTTTTTTTTTTTTTGTGTGTGTAAGAGTGTGCACACATACAATGACAATAGTCGACCGTTGTTATTATTTCTATTTGCGTTTACTTTTTTTTTTATAAAAGTTTCCTGTCATTAATATTTATAGAGGCTTAAATATAATTGCGTATATGTTCTTACATACTTATTATGTATGAATGTGCGTGTGTGTGTGTGTGAGTGTCAATAAACAAGTGTGTGTGTATATATATATAAAAGTCTATACTGAAATAAATGTATATAATTATGTACGTACGTGTTTATCCCAGTCTGTAGACTCAAAATTAAGGTTTGTCAAAGACAGTACCTTCCTCGAAGGTTTGTAGGTAAATCGACAATTTATTTTCCATTTTTTTTTTTTTTTTTATAATCCGGGATTGAGAAAATATTCTAATCACATCCTGAGTTTTTCTTTCCTTTTTGATTGACGCGATCTTCTCACTGTCGTAGATTAACGGCCGGGGTAAAAAAAAAAAAAAAAATACGATAGGAAGCAACTAAAATATTTAAAATAAAATAAACTAAGCTATTAAAAAGAAAATTATGATGAAAGTAAAAACTAGTCAAAAATTAATAATAATGGTTGACAATGCATGAGTTGATAAAATTAAAGATGAAGGTTAAGTTCAATACAAATTAATAATAATAGTCGACAATGCTTTATCAGATAAAAAGAGGAACTAAGAATTAAGAAGAAAGTAAATACAAGTTAAAAATTAATAATATTAGTTACCAATATCGTAGCAAATAGAAAATAAAAATAAAATTCAGTCAAAATTAGATACTAGTTTAAAATGAATAATAATGTTTGGTAATGTTCCATCGAATAAAAATAAAATAAAATAAAAACTCAAAATTAAGCTAAAATTAAATATGTGTTAAAAAAAATATAAATAGTGAGTGTTTTTTTTTTTTTTTTCAGGTTTATACGATGATGAATTTTCTTATAAACCTTTTGCCTTCAAGAAGGCTGTCAATTCGTAAGCGCAAAATTCATTTTGTTGTCCCACGATGCAGTATATACGCTCTGCGGCTTGCATCAAACTGTATTGGTATCGTTCAACTGAGAAAACATGGGTAAGCGATGAGTTTGGGGTGGTTGGTCATTGACTGCAGTTTTTTTTTTTTTTTTTGTCTTTCAATTCTCCCTATTTGTCGTTTTGTTGTTGTTAGTATCACTGTTGTGAGTGTTTTGGGTGAATTGCTGGTTGCATCGTTGAATGAATGAAGGATGACAGAGAAGAAAGAGAGGGATAGGGCGAGAAGGCGGGCTGTTCAGTGTGCAGAAAAAAAAGGCGGGGTGGGAGAATCGTGACGTTGGTGGATTAGGTGTGAGTGCGCCTCCAAACAGCAAATTGAAAATAATACGACAGTAATACAAACGCGCGAGATCACAAACGTGACCACATCACCGAAAGCGTATATACGGTCGTGTGCATGTGGTGTTCGAAGGATAATGATAATAAAAGCGTCAGGATATAATAATTTTCCAACAAGGAAGGGAATCCTGCAAAACAAAAAGAATAAATTAACGAGAAAGAAAGAAAGAAAGAAAGAAAGATGTCAAGGAGGAAGAAAAGAAGAAAGAGGAAGAAAGGAAAAAAAGAAGTAAGAGTGAAATGAAAGAAGAGCAGAAAGAAGAAGAGAAATGGCGGAAGAGTAGAAGCAAAGAAGAAAGGAATGAAGGATGAGTAAAAGAGAGAGGAAGAAAAGAAAAGGAAGGGAGACAAGGAAGGAAGGAAGGAAGGAAGGAAGGAAGGAAGAGGCGAATAGAAGGAAAGGAAGAATAGAGGATGAAGGAAGTTGAGTGGGATAGAGGGGGAAGGAAGGAAGAGTGAAAAGAAGGGAGAAACGAAGAAAGGTTGGGAGGAGGAAGGAAAGTATTAAATGAAGAAAAATTATTGAAAAATTTGAAAAAAGAGAAAAAGAAAATTAAATTAAATGCAATCAGGAAACTATATATATATATATATAAAGAAGGAAGGTAAACTGGAAGGAGGATATATATATATATATATATATATATATATATATATATATATATATATATATATATATATATATATATATATATATATATATATATAGTTATATGTACATATAAAGATATACTGCCTGTCTGTGCTCTCCGCTTTTGAAAGCAAAATACATTCCGTCGTATTTGTTTTGATTTCTAGTTGTAGAAAAAATGATTAGTTATTTCCTTAAAATCTTATTATCGAATGATTATCTCATTGTATCGAATCTTTCACTTTACAGATCCTTTTTTCTTTTCTTTTCTTCTCTTTTCTTCTCTTTTCTTTCTTTCTTTTTAATTTTAAAATTTTTCCGTAGTATCTGCCTCAGAAGTTTTCGATAAGATTACAACACAAAAAGGTCTTTTTACTTTTCGTTTTTTACATTTTTTTTTAATAAAAAGCTGATCAGATTTTTTATTTGATTACTTGCTCCTTTTTTTCCAGACCTTTTTTTTTTTTATTCTTTTATTTTATTTTGTCTTAGCTTTGTTTCTTTTCGCCCTTTTTTTTAGAGTCTTCCGTTGATCTTAGGGTATTTATGTCAGGGTTTTTTTTTCTGTAAGTTTTCTTTAATTTCTGTAATTTTCACTTTAATCAGTTTAAATTTTTTTTTAAAAAAGCCGTTTTTATTTGACTTGCAACTTTCTGACAATTTTATTCCTTTCCCTTTCGTCTTCTTTGTTTTTTTTTTTTTTTTTTTTTTTTTCTTCTGTTACATCTTGCCAGAGTACCAACCAAAGTAGAACTTTTATCAAAATGAAAAAACGACAGCAACCACATTAAAGTTAAATTTTAAGAAATGTGTGGCCGGACTTTCCTCCAAAAGTGATCCAATTAACGATATCAATGCCGGTTTTAATATGCGTTATTCCAATGTTCTTTAGAATTTAAGACACCAAAAGTCTTTAAAGGAGATTTTAGGCACAAAATAACAAGTGGAATAAGGATGAGATAATGGTTAATACCGGCATTAATATTAAGGTCTTTGTAAATGATATCAAAGGAGAAATTATGTGGATCACATTCCTGTCTGCCCTAAAATACATAAATTGCAAGAATCATATTCTCAAATCTTCCGTAGGGACCATAGTTACATTTTTGTTTCTCTCTGGTTACCTGACACCTCATCTGTTTGCATCTTCTGATACAACAAAAAAATTGTTGTCTCTTGAATTCTCTGGTTGAAATTTGGGGGCATCTCGCAAAACAAAGGCAAGACATAATAATAATAATAATAATAATAATAATAATAATAATAATAATAATAACAATAATAATAATAATAATGATGATGATAACAACAACAATAATATTAATAATAATAATAATATTTTCTTAATAAATTAAAAGGCAATGTCGATGAAGAAATTAAGAATGGCCACAAGAAAAAAATTAGTATTGAATTAGTACCATTGCAATCTTTTTTCGGCTTTCTTTTTCAGGTAACGACAAACTGAACACGGGTCAAAGTGTTACGTTGACGAGTTCAATAGACTTGCAAGGCCTAAAGTGAAGATTATATATATATATATATATATATATATATATATGAAATTGAATAAGTAATTCAAATTAAATTAAAAAAAAAAATAGGGATCAGTCAGCGCACTTAAGAGTTAACTCCAACACTAAGCCAACATCGGTAACGCATTTTCCCCGAAAAAAAACCCCAAAAAATGAATAAGCAGAACGAACTCTCGCTGAGCTTGTGTATTAACGTGAGAGTAATTCGTTTCTTTTGTTTCCCTTAGCCGATAAACTCCTCCCACCTTCTCATCTCTTTCACTTCCGTCTCCACCTATTCCTCTTTGGCTACTGCTGCAGCTACTGCAGGCTTATGACAGTAATCATTGGTTGACTTGTTTTGTTTTTTGGGAGTGACGGATGGAGAGGTGTACTACCCCCGGGGTTATTAATTACTTGCTCCGGAAACTTTTTTTTTCCTTTAAATAAAATGTTACTTTATTTATTAATTATGGAATCTTTTTTGTTGTTTGTTTTGTTTTGTTTGTTTACGACACAAAACTGTGTACGAACAAGTGACATCATTTCTTTGAATTAGAAAAAGCAAGAGATTTAAATTTTCTTTTCACTTTTCTTGTTGGTGGGAATGTTTGCTTTCTTTCTGTTGTCACTTTTATTCTACCATTGTGCCAGCTATTTTTTTCTGAAAAAAAAAATGATAATTATAATAAATTCTGATGATGATTATAATAATAATAATAATAATAATAATAATAATAATAATTTATGAAATTATAAATAATAATATTTTCTGAAAATAAAAATATTTTCTGAAAAATAATAATATTTTCTGAAAATAATAATAATATTTTCTGAAAATAATAATAATGATATTTTGAGAATAAAAAAATAATAATATTTTCTGAAAATAATAATAATAATAATAATATTTTCTAAAAATAAAAATAATAATTTTTCTGGAAAAAGGATATTTTTCAAAAAATAAGATTTGTGTAAAATAATAATAATAGTAATATTTTCTGAAAATAATAAAAATAATAACAATAATAATATTTTCTGATGATGATGATGATAATAATAATAATAATAATCATTTATGAAAATTATAATGATATTTTCTGAAAATAATAATAAAATTTTACGATAATAATAATAATAATAATAATAATAATAATAATAAATTGTTATTAAAGACCACAAACAAAAACGGTGCCTTCTTATTGATATGGCAGTCCCTGCAGACTGCAAGGTATCTTTGAAGATATTCAAAAAGCTGTCAAAATACAAGGACCTTGAAATAGAAATATCAAAAATGTGGCATATGGGAACATCAACAATCCCTGTTGTAATTTGGAGCCCTAGGGCTGGTTGGAAAAAGATTGCAGTAGACTAATTGAAGGATTCCTGGAAGTCCATGCCTCAAGGAGATACAAAAATTGTTCTGACAAGTACAGTCCACACTTTACGAAGGACTTTATCTATGTAATTTCTTTTTTTTTTTTTTGTCAGTGGAAAGTGTCATGATGCCATTTCTAACCTTAGGTCCCTGGGCGGGACCCGGAAAGAAATGTGTAAACGCCAGAAATCAAAGAAAATAATAATAATAATAATAATAATAATAATAATAATAATAAATCCAGAAAAATGCCCAAATAGCTTACGTGAGGAGTAATATACCTACTCACCCCACACAAAAGACTCACAGAATCCGAAGAATTACAGGCGCCAACAATGTACAAGATCCTCACTTTTATCATAACCGAGAGGACATACAACTTCCTTGAGAAAAAAACAATTTACTCCCAACAGAAGGGATGCAAAAGAGGAAGTTGCAGGTACAAGGACCAAGTAATTATCAATAAAACAATATTGGAAGAGGTGAAAACAAGGAAAAGAAACTTATCGATAGTATGGATCGACTACAGAAAGACGTTCGACAGTGTACCACACTCATGGATAAAGAAGAGTCTAAAAATATACAAATTATCTCACACAACGGTCAAATTAATAGCTGAGAGCATGAAAAACTGGAAGACTACACTAAAGCTAAACCATACAAACGGGTCATTAACATCGAGACCAATCAACATTAAAAGCGGGATCTTCGAAGGAGATTCATTGTCACCATTACTCTTCTGTTTTGCATTAGCGCCATTCATCTGCCTACTGAGCAACAGTAACTACGGCTACAAGTCACAGAATGGCAAAAGTGAATCACCTATTCTATATTGATTATCTTAAAACGTTTGTCAAGGATGACAACCAGCAGACAAAACCTATTCACCATTGTCAAAACCTTCATGAAAGACATTAAGATGGAGTTCAGAACCAACAAATATGGCAAATCCCTTTTCAAAGGTGGTAAACTAACGAAAACTACAGATTTAATCATTGATATCAATAAAAAGATTAAGGAACTAGACCAAATAAAAAATAATAGCCTGAAACTATTATTTAACATAATAAAACATTTAACATAATATCAAACCATAAAATAAGAATCATTTCTGAATTTTTATTTCAACTATTTACTCTAAAATACCCTCTAGAATTTCATGTATGCAAGGCGTGCTCCTTACAATTTCTTTCATTGAGCCTCGGTCACATGACCACTCCAGCATGTACATATACAATTCCTAAAAAAGAATTAACGTAAAGAACAAAATTCTTCTTACGCTTCACAAATATTTTTTTTCTTTTCAACAAAAACAATACTTGGCAATCCTTTGTCCATTCTTGGTCACTAGCTTCTGTAACACAAAGTCAACCCTTCAGACGACAGTCTAGATATAAATCACTCCAACAGTGAACTTTGACCTCCCCAATATCACCTCCATCGAGGTCAGCAGGTAACAACTCTGCAACCCAGTATCATTTGGCAGAACAAAATTTCTTGCCTCTTCACTTGAGACTACACAAAATGCGCATATAATTCACAGAAAAACAAATACTGGTTCAAAAAGACACAGCCAATAGCCCACGTCAAAGCGTCAAACAATTCCACAACTGAGCCACGTCCTTGCCACCTAATTTTTACACGTTAATATGCTATGATATACATTCCTCTCTCACTCACAGTGACACAGCGTACATGGTTCATTATCACCCAATTTATTCAAACAACCAATCAATTTTTTTCTTGCATATTACCAGATTCACATAAACATATTTTCACAATTTTTTTACCACCATTAATTTCGATGGTGAAGTAATGGATAGCAGCTCAAATTGAGGAATCGGAGAGCCGAGTTCGAATTCTAGTCGAATCCATTCACTTACGGGGAAAGGTATAAATCCTTTTCTTCTCCCCGACCCAGCTATGGGTAAGTAGCAGCACAGACTGGGCTCATATCCTTGGATGGCAATTGGTCTACAGCAGAAAGAAATGACAACCTACTCCAGGAAAAAAATCTGCCTCGTCAGTCATGTATCGAAAGATACATGATCGCCTAAGCGTGTATCATGTATGGCCCATAACTGACTGAA